ACTTTATAGGGTCGGAAACGTCTCCTTCACTGCGTTGCAAACTCCTGACTGAAATTATAATACCCTGCAAGGGTATAAAGATGACTTGGCTATTTTCGACATATTTTCATCATTTTTGAGATATGACCATTTTTTATTATTTCAGAATTTCGGTTTTAATTTTATGAATATCGGACGACTATATCTTATAGCTGCCATTTGTCAGATTTTTTTTTCCTATTTTGTAGACCTACAATATAAGAAGATATAGTGAGTGTCTTGGATATAGAATGGGAACTTAGATTTCAGTAACGATATATCCGAGACTTTCACAAACATTTTTTAACTATTAGGGCTACAACATAGCAAAAATATGTAAAAAGAAAGTTCTGAAAAATAATATAACGGCTTTCATTAAGCCCAACGCACGGTTAGCATTTCATAAGGTTTTTAAAAGTGCCAAAACCATCTGTTTTTCATACTTTGACCGCGATTTTTTAAAAATTTGTACGCGATGGAAACTTTTTGTTTTCGAATTAGCAATATTCAGACAAAGATCTTTTACAAGCAGTCGCCATTAGTCACCGTGCAAAAAAAGGATAGAATTTTGTCGATCTGTTTTATTAAATTAACTTTGCCATAACATGAGCACATACACATATATTGATATATTCTATATTTATATATTTATAAAAATGCAGTTATATAATCTCTAATCTTTCCACAGTTAGCTTATTCAACAAAAAAAATGATGACAGTGAATATGACTTGGTACCACCTGATGGCGGCTGGGGTTGGCTAGTGCTTTTAGGATCGTGTTTGACAAATATCCTCATTCCTGGCACGATCAAAAGTTTCGGTGTTCTGTTCGTTGAATTCACTGAAGCCTTCAATTCATCGCCTACAAAGGCTTCATGGATACCAGCGTTGTGCTACTTTCTCTACAGTTCATTGGGTAAGTTTAAATTTTGTTCTGGACTAGTCAAGTCTTACGTTTTGAAATTGTAATTAACAGGTCCTGTGTCAAGTATCCTTTCTGTTAAATATTCATATCGAACCGTCACTCTTCTGGGCGGAGCGTCCGCATCATTAGGTATGATACTCTCATTCTGGGCATCATCGATTGGGTACCTGTATATCAGGTAATTAATTATACCATAGAAGTAAGGGCTTTAATGTTATTTATGACCCTTTGTTTTTCAGTTACGGCGTGCTTGTAGGAATTGGTGCTGGTCTTTCCTTCCCACCAACAGTGTATATTGTGACTTCATACTTTGCAAAGTTACGCGGATTGGCCAATGGTCTGTGCATCTCAGGCAGTGCTCTTGGCAGCATTATTCTTCCCCCCCTTCTTCGTTGGTTACTTGAGACCTACGGTTACCATGGATCCTGTCTCATAATGGGAGGCATCACCCTTAATGTTTTTGTAGCTGCGCTGTTTTATGAGCCTGTGGAGCAGCACATGGTACGTGTTCTACGTGCCCGTCAGGCTCTGGAGGACATACCTGAAGAAGAGGACATTGGAATTGTGATGAAATTCGAGAATGTCGACGAGAACGTAGTTGGCCAGGAGCAAGCTGATAAGAACCTACTACCCCATAACTCACCGCCTTCCCCCCTGTATCTACCCGACGATGAGAAGCAGCTGTTCGTTCGTAGTGCTTCCGCAGCTGTGGTTCAAAGTTACTCAAAGTCTGGTGATGAATTCCAGCCTCGAACTCGAAAGATAAGTACCCCTGTGAGGTTGCCGCAAAGGAATCAGACGTTTACACCCGGGCAACTAAACTCTCAATCTTCTTTGTATGCTGTACCAGAGAGTCGCTCTAGTTCAAACAAACTCTCTCTAAGAAATTCCTCAAAGTCGAGATTATCTAAGCGTTCTCCATCAACTAGTAGCTTTTTGTACATCAGCACACCATATCACGGAAGTACTTTGTCATTCCAGCCAAAGGAATTTTCCTCGCACATGTCTCTTCGTTCAATGGGCAGTAACGGCGGAGGAGGCGTGGCAGGAGACTCAACGTGTCCAGAAACATCCAGGGCCACTGATGAAGCTGGAGGCAAGGCTCAAGCACCACAACGCTCCAAGTTTTTTGATCTGAGCTTGCTAAGGGACCCGATGTACTTAGTCATACTTATCTCTAATTCGACAAATGCCATCAGCTACACGAATTTTATCATATTGCTTCCAAGTTTTGGTGAAGCCAGAGGTTTTAACAAATCATTATCAGCGTACCTGCTATCAGTTGTTTCCGCCACGGATCTTATTGGTCGTATTGGAGGCTCAGCACTTTCTGACATGGGCTACATACCAAAGACGTGGTACTTTGTTGGAGGCTTGTCTATATCGGGTCTTTCCCTTGCATTATTACCATTTGCATGGTCTTACGGCTCAGTTTGTTTCTGGTGCGCTCTGTTCGGCCTTGCTTCTGGAATCTACGTGGGAATAACGGCTGTGATCATGGCAGATATGTTAGGTACTGAACGATTAACGTCATCATATGGCATCAGCCTTTTCGTTAATGGCTTGCTGCAGTTGGTTGGGCCGCCGCTTTGTAACTTCTGGTTTGAGGCGGTCAATGATTATAATCCGCTCTTCCATGCTTTAGGACTGACGTTGTTGGCTGGGGCCAGCCTTTGGAGCTTTATGCCATGGATAAATCGCCGAAAGGCTAAACAAGAAAGGAAACTCGATACTCTGCAAATCGATGAAGAGGCTGTCGATAGCTACTAAATAAAGATCAGGCAAGAAACACTAACTGTATCAAAAAAAAACGTACAACTACAATTAGTTATTAGGCTTCAAATGGCGTACAAACAGTGATGAAGATACATACGTGTATATGCGTTTACCGGCGAGAACTATAAAAACTAAACGTTTTGACCGCTGTTTAATTGTTACTTCCAGTAGCTTTGTCTTACTGTTAAGTTGTAACTATAACATTGTATAATTACCACACCTATTGTTTACTTAATACTAATAATATAATAGTTTAGACAGTATAAAAATCAATAAATTAAAAAAAAAGATTTTATAACTATTTTTTCTATAAAATGCCAAACAATATGTAAAATAATTATGAAAAAAAAAATATATATATAATAAAAATTCAACCCTCTTTGTTGTTAATGCGAAAGGATTACTCAAATAGATATTACCATGTTCGAGCTTAATAGGTTTAATAGAAGACGAAAATTACATTTTTTAATTAACACCGAAACTTATACCATAAACGAATTGCATTTGGTTGCTTTAAACATTTTTTGTTTATATTTTATATATTTAGTTGTGGTTTTTAGGCGACCTTTCCTTTATTTATGTGTTGTTGAGCCAGCTTTTGGTCAAAATAACAACATTAGGATTTTAACTTCAGACAAGGGAAATAAAACGGTAGCAATGGAAATGGACGACTACAACAGGAAAATTAAGGATATTCTGAACGATTTGAGAACTTACAAGACATTAAGGAAGGACCCAACATCAAAACTGCAAACGAAAAACAACGAAATAACAGAAAAACTTCTCAAAATGGGAATTATTACATAAACGGAAAAACAAGAACTAACTACGACGACGCACAGTAGCGCCTTTTCTCATTTTACGTTGCAAAAATCATAACGTTTGAACAAAACAAGATAACTAAATAATTTAAACGCCATTTGATAGGTAATTGTCGTAAAATTTGTATTGGAAAATCTGCCACGCCCACTCATTCGCCCTTTTAAAGGGTATCAAAGTGAAGAAAATTTTTTTCCTCAATGAAGACAATTTTTTACAAATATTGTTTATTTAATTTTTTATCTTTATTTTAACGTATTTGCTTAAATAAAAATAATTTGAAAACTGAAAAAAATTTTTTTTTTATTCTGTTTAACCGCCACAGAACCGTGAACGCTACAGTTAGTATTTTTTTGTTGGCTTTTTATTAAATTATGTCGGTGTTTTGGTTTTTTTACCCTGAGTTGTTTCGGTTTTTTGCTTCGCAATGCCAGAGTCTCAGCTGGATAGTCCGCGTCCGGATTCTGGTTCAGGAAAGATACACGCAGTGCGTAGTCATAGTGTAGTTGCCGGCTCTGGGCAGCTTCAGAAGTTATAGACTACTTTAGCCAGAAAATGGTGAAAATAATGGACACCTGGCAGGTAGCGATTTACCTGTACAAGCACAAACCAAAGTGTTTTTTTTTTCGTTAATTAACAGTTTATGAATGTATCTATAATTTAAAGTTTTTGTGTAATATTACCTGAAAGTCGACCAACTTACCCCTTTTTTTTTTGGTATGATGCAAAAAACGAAAGACAGTTCAACTTTGAATGCCCATATCTTCTACAAAAAAAATCTTAAAATAGATTTTATTGCAGATTCTGAATCCTTGGGAAATTTTCTGTCGAATAAGTATTTTGTGAACATGACATTTTCGATTTTTGCAACGCTAATTGTTCGAGAGGCGCTACTGTGCGCCGGAACATTTTGGAAACTGTTGTGCTTCCTTGGGCCCAGCAGCACTTCGGTGATACGGAGTGGACGTTTCAACAGGATTCAGCGGCAGCCCATAGAGCCAAATTGACTCAGGACTGGTGCAAAGCCAATTTTCCGGACTTTATTACATCCAGTGAATGGCCACCTTACTCGCCAGATCTTAATCCGATGGACTACAGTGTGTGGTCTATTTGGGAGCCCAGGGCATGTGCTAAACGCCACATAAGTTTGGAGGCGCTGAAGCAATCATTGCTCCAAGAATGGGATCGATTATCGGAAGAAGACCTGCGGCCCATTGCGCTAAATTTCCAGAAACGTTTAGGGCTCTGCATCGCAGCCCAAGGAAGCCACTTCGAAACCGGCTGAATATATGTTAACACAATACCTATTTAATATATGTGTATCTGCATTTTCTCTCAAATACAGTTCCTTAAAAAGTGATGATCAAAAATGTTATTTCGGGTTATTTATTCACCCTGTATAGTTGTGTGATTTTCATAAAAATAGAACCGACAATCTTCAAAAATCATAAATAGCCATATCTCAGAGTTGATTTTTTATTAAGCGGTACTCAATTTGATAATAAATGCATCCGTTTCGTATGAAATTGCAATTTGCTCATTTTAAATCTATATATAATTTTTAAAACAGCATTATGTCTTGTACAGCTGATAAGCAACGGTGTTTATCAGGCAAATAAAAGGGTTCGAAGACATGCGGAAATGGAGTATCCCATCCAGTCACACGTTTAACTGGGGCTTCAAGATGTAAGAAACACTTTTCTTGAATGTACGCAGCTATCTCTGACCCAAATCCCTGAGTGTAAGGGGCTTCATGTGCTATTATTACTCGCCCAGTTTTTTTCGCCGACTATAATTAAAGGATATATGTAAATTAATGATAGCTACAGTAATACTGTTAATAACATACTTTACAAACAGCATCAGTGTCCCATGGCAAAATAGATACCAAATCTATAACTTCACAGTCAACACCAAGTTTTTCTTTTGCTAGGTTAGCAACCTAAAACAAAATAATAATTTTAAAAAAGAAAAAGGAAACATTTGTGTGACTTACTTCTAATAGCACATGGACTTGCGTGCCCCAGCCAATGAGTGTGACATCTTTTCCTTCACACAAAACGTCAGCTTTTCCGAGGTCTGATGTGTAATAATCCAGTGGTACTTCCTCAACAGCAGCTCGGTATAATGTCTTAGGTTCAAAAACAATACATGGATTAGGATCACGAACACAGGCTAGAAGCAGTCCTTTAGCCTTGACCGGTCCCCGAGGAATCTAATAATACATTTAATAGTATATAAATATTATATTATTAGAGGCGATCTGTGTAACTACCACTATGCGAAGACCTGGGGTGTGAGCAAAGTATGCTTCTGGACTTTGAGAGTGGTAGAGTGCACCATGACCAACAGCACCACAAGGAACTCGAAAAGTTAGTGATCCACAGTCAAAGAGGCCCCCACTACGATACCGATATTTTGCAGCTTCATTCACTATCTGATCAAAACTGGGAAATATGTAATCTGCAAATTGAATTTCAGCTATTGCAGTGACTCCAGTATTGGCAACTCCGATAGCAAAACTGTAGGAGAAAAAACAAATTTAATAGGACGAAGTGAAGGTAATATGTAAATGCATATGTTATAACCTTGATCAAATCTAAAATGCATCAATGCGAAAAACCCATGAGAAATGTCCGTTAGTGCTGAGCAAAAAGAACGAATGCAACAAGAATAATACATTCTATGTATATACAGTGGATCGCAGCTTATTTCGTGCAGTCAAGAAACTAAAGTATAAATCATCACTGCTGCTCTACCATAAGAGATATCGAAACAATTTAAATGCAGTGTTTTGAATCAGATATCCTACATTTTAAATTAAAAAAAAATATCTTCCCAATTAATAAGAACAAACAATAATATTAAAAAAACAAATTTATGACCTTTTTTCACGCCGCAGCTTATTTCGTGCAGCTAGTTAAAATGTAAGAAACAATGAATTTTTGGCTTAATTTTTAATTTTTTTTTTTATTTTGGCTTTGGTATTGGTAGCTTATGTATATTTTAAAAGTTTCTTGGCCTGATCACACTAAAATATGAAGTTATGGGGAAATAAGTAAAATAGGATCGCGAATTTCTATTAAAATACGATAATTAGTTCTCTTTCAATTTAAGACAGAAAAAAAATCACCGTGGTACTACGAAAATGTTATTCTTAAATCGCACATATATAAAAACATAAATTAATCGTTTGTCCGTGAAGATTGGGCCAAACATAAGGGCCGAAATGCACCGAATACATTTTTCAGTGAACATTAAGTTCATTACATGGACCAAAAAAAAAGTGAAATCATTAACAAACGTCTGCCAAATTTGTTATATAGATAGAGCACGAAATAAGAAACAAGTGTAGTGCCGATTTAATACGCCTCTTGTTGCAAAAATACATCTATAAGGCTCTAGTAGTATGAAAAGAGCCATTTATAAGGAAACCAGCACAGGAGCAACATCAAAACTTTTCATAGGAGCTTATAATTCGTCCGATTTTCTTTTGGAATGTTTTTATCTTTACCAATAAGTAAAAGTTTAACTAATTTAATCCTGATGACAGTATAAATTATTGGCGGAGACCCAATATTGAGCTAGAAACCAAACACTTGCAAGCTACTCTGAAGCAAGGCGGCGATCGTGTCTTATTTGGGCCTAAATGGCTTCCTGTAGAGTAGGAAACCAAATTTTTTTTGGCAGGATCTTGGAAACCAATATGTTCCCTTCAATATAAAATGTTAACTTCTTTCAAAATGTAGAAAACGTGGTCACACGGGATAGTTTGCAAAACTATTAGTACAGCGGTCTCTACTACTTATCGGACTTTCGGAAGCTTTAGCTCACACAAAACGGTCCTAATGACAAAAAAACAACATCAATGTCACCCAGACATAATCATTATTTAAAATTTTTAGCAAATATTGGACTAGCCATCCCAAAAATTAAAAGTTTTGACCAAAATTATCAAAAAAGTAGTGCCTTAGAGGAATTGATTAAAATTAATCTAGAAACATTAAAAAAACTAGTTAATTCAATTGAAACATCATCTGAAAGGTATTCAGAATAAAATAAGAGGTCACATAAAATTGTTTATATTAAATTAATAAAAATAAGTTGAATCAAACGAAGTGCACGAAATAAGCTGCGGCATGAAAAAAGCCCTCAAATTAGTTTTTATTAAAATACAAAATCGTTTTTATAATTAGGAAGATTGTCTTTGTTCAGTATAAATGTTAGTACAAGTACTAAAAGTACTGCGTTTAAATATTTGGATTATCTTCAATCGTTTAGCCACAGGGACGTTTTAAATTTTCGTTTCTTGACTGCACGAAATAAGCTGCGATCCACTGTATATGTTTGTATGTATATATACATATGGATATAACTTTTATAACGTACCCAGCAATTCCCTGTTCACATAACGGTGTGTTAAAAACTCTGTTCTTTCCGTACTTATCTCGTAGATTAACAGAGCACCTGTTGAAAACACATACATAAATATTTGTATTAAGCGTAATTATTCGTTCATTTTACCTAAAAACTCCACCGAAGCCCACATCCTCACCAAACAACAATGCTGAATTATCATTTTCTAGCGCAAGATCCATTGCATTATTAATGGCGTTAAACATATTCATTTTTTTTCCGGAACTCGAGGAGGTTGGATAATACGTAAAATGAGACCGCGACAAAAAAAGGGCGCTCACATTGGGCCGCAGTGTAGTAAGCCGGCCACGCAATATTTGAGGAACAATCATTTTTAAATACAAAATATATTTGTAATTACTATTGCGTAAATATTAAATCCACGAAATTGCATCAGAGATGTGAAAAATATATGAAAATATCAATATATCGATACATCGATTTTTGTCAGAATAAATATTTGTATCGTAATTTTTTTGTTACCTAATAGGGTCTTCCCACAGAGCATCAAACCGCATTCACCGTCCGTTTAATAAACTGATCATAATACTGTCGGTTGGGATTTTTTGCAGATGCGAAACTCGTGTTCCCTCAGAGCTGCGTCAAAGTGCATCCGCATCCGAACAGCTGATCGATCAGCTGTGGCTCATGAACACGTAAACAATGATGGCTGAAGTTTATCAACTATTTTGGCTGTTTAACAACAGCAAAACGACAGATTGCGTCAGAATTTATCCGCAATAAATTTAAATGAATTAAATGACAAGGAATTTTAGTTTTTCTAATGATTTTTCTCTAACAAAGAGTAAATTCCCCGAAGAGTGTGTATATGTGGTAAAGGCATCCAAAACCTTTAAAATAAGGTAGAGGTAGGCGGTTTATATTAAATAGTAACAATTGGGGACATTTTGGGGCAAGAATATACAAAAAAACAACAACAACTATTTTGGGAATGTTTGTAGCTTTTGGCGCCACATTTTAAATTCCATATTTCATTTGTTCCTTGCCAACTTTGTTTATATTTTCGTAGTGTTGGTCAAATTTTCACTGTTAAGAAGAAGAAATCAGAGTTGCATTGAAAAACTATCACCTAACAAACCGTAGTTAGATTTATATGCGTTCTAACCGCGGTCCATTTGAGAAAATTCGGAACGGCAATACCTTATGGACCGTTTGTTCAATGGACGGTGGATGCGCTTTAATGGTGTGTGGAAAGACCCATAAGGTTTTGCCGTTCTGAAAGTTCTCATTTTTTACCGCATTAGAGTATATGTATATTTATCCACCGTTAGTTGGCGATAGTTTGTCGGTGCAACTCTAATTTCTGCTTCTTAACAGTGCAAATTTGACCATTAACTAGAAAAGTTTAAACAGAGATGACGAGGAACAATTGAAATATGGAACTTAAAATGCGGCGCAAAAGCTGCAAACAATCCCAAATAACTAGTTGGTGTTTTGTTGCATTTCTAGTCTGAATGGGCTGGAGGACTATCGATATATCGATAGAGGTAGATCGGTGTGACCAGGGTGGGTAGGGATTTGAACGAGCGAACCGGGAATTTAGCTATGAGAAAGGGTTTTTACCCTTTGATTTCGCCATTGCACTGAGCGCCAAAAGAACGGTTGGCCGCAGTTGGAACTCGGGCAACGGACCGAGCATATATTGGGTGGCAGAAAGCAGGAAAAGGGAAAAGATTAGCGGGTCGTCAGGCGGTCAGCTGCAGTAACAGTAGATGTGTGGAAAAAAAATAAATAAAACGTGAGAAAAGTGTAGTGAAACTTAAACCTAATTGTTTAAAAAAAAAGGAAGTTTCCTTAGCGTGGCCGTGACAAGTTGCGCGGACCACGGGGTTTTTTTTTTTTTTTTTGTGTAGTGCCGTGTCTCCGAGCCGCTGCCGGAAATTTGGCCGGGAGAACTCCTCCAGCCGGAAGCCACCTGCGCGCCACCAAGCCGCTATCAGGCTCCTGCCGCCTACGGGCCGAAGACCTATCTGGAGGACTACGGAAACCGGTGAATCCGTTGTGGTAGAACGCCGTCATAAAACGGCCGGTGTTAACCTAAGTGGTATTGGATACTCTTTTTGGCACTCGCCGCCACCTTGGTGGGCACAAAGGCCAGCAGCCGCCTATTCTGGCCGTTGCTCAATATAGTGCCGTCTCCGACCATATAGAATACCATATATGTCGGAGAATGAATATTCTTTTCAGCCATTGTCGAGATAGTCAGTTTTGTTCGCCTGCGCAATATCAAACTGAATGCGGCATCACGCAACTTTTCCTTTGGCCCTTTTACCCTTTCTCACTTTTCACTCAAACGACAATCGTAGACCAGACATTGTCTGTCCCTCTCTCTCTTTCCTATTGTTGCGACAGACGAACAGACCTCACTTTATTTATTGTTCTCTTTTGTTTCTCTCTTTGGTCTTAACTTAGGTTAGGTTATATTAGGTTTATCCGGACGGCCCTCATGGCTCATGGGGCCACACATAGGCCAATATGGCCCCTAGCTATCCGGGGAAATTCCTCAATGGACCTAGAGACTATTTATGCGAGTTTCGAGATCCTTGAAGATCGCCTGGCTTCCTCCTGGAGGCATCTTCTAGCGATGCCAGAACCGGAGAGCCTAGGTATCTCATTCTTGCCCTTGTCTAGCCGTTTCTGGAGCAGCAGTTTCTCCATGAGTTTCTCTGCGTCTTGCGTATTTCCTTCTTGTAGTCCCTTAGTAGGACTTTGTATTCCTTATTGATGATATTATCTTTCGCCTGCTTGGCAATTTTGAAGAATTCTTTGAGTCTGTTACCTCGGAGTGAAAGGTCCTTATTCTACCAGGGTGGCCAGGTCCTCTTTTTCGTGTCCGATATAGGGATGCGTGGTACGCATCTAGCAGTTCTTTGGAGAGGGTCTCTAGGGACTTTTCTATATCTTCCGCGGATTATACTATGACTGGAGAAGTCGATAGTCTCCTTTAACCCAGTTAGTATTCCGAGCGTTTATGAAGGCTGATTGTTTGATTGATTTTTCAGTGCTAAAAATAAAAAAAATATAAAACAAAAATAAAGCTATAAAAAGTATAAAACTTGTTTTCTCAATAAAAATGTATTTTTTCACTTTGATACCCTATTAAAAGCCGAATTGATGGGCGTCGTATTTTTTATTTTTTTTATTTTCAGAAACGACGTTGGCATGGAGCGCCCGTTGCATATATTTTGACATTCGTTTTGGTACTAAACTTAGCTTAGCCTAAGGGCCAGCTGCCGACCGAGAAGCCCAGCTTAACAGCGCGAGAGCGGGAGAACAGTGAATTGGAGCGGCGTAGCCGTACCTAAGCTCGTCTAGGAGCGAGCGACGATCGGGAACACGGGTGCGTGCGATCGGGAATGCCGAGGAGCGGAGAGCGTTGGTAAGCTGGAAGCTTACTGGGCAGAGGGGGGACAGGGGCCTCCTGACGTGAACATTCTCCACCCCCTTGCAATCACTCGGGTTGCAATAAACCCGTGCAGGACGATGGTATAGAGGGGCATCAGAGCCCTGCGTAGATCGTTGATGCTGGAGCGACGAGTAGCGATGAAGGACTAGTGCCATGGAGAGGCGGATGATTGCCATGGAGAGCTGAGAGCTTGTCGTAAGGAGCTTACTGAACGATGATTAGTAGGCGTCGGATGTCGTGAACAGGACGCATCACTGAGCGCACGAAGACGTCGAACTTTCCGTAGCGGATGAACTTAGGCAGACTCGGAAACGGTAGGACTAAGTACCTCGGGTACGTCTGCTTTCCAGAGCGATCGCGGTGTGTGGAAGTGATCTGGATGAAAGAGGATGACATGGAGATGAGTAATGGTCAATAATGTGCGAACTACTACATACTCGTACAAGTATGGGGGTGACCGATGCTGCGAGCGGAATGGATGCTCAGGACGGTCATGCGGATGCAGAAGAGTGTGGTGGTGCTGATTGCACGTCTTGCATCGGTCACCGCTGCGGCAGGTTCCCTCGGAATGTTTGTGGGCCAAACAGTTTGAACAATAGCGGTTGTCGAGGACCGCACGGAGCCTCTTAACAGCGCTGAGTCTAAGGAACTGTTGGCATATCCGGAGCGGGTGGAATCCGCTGTAGACTCGGCAACGGTAGGACTGCGTACCTCGGGTACGTCTGCTCTCCAGGCCACAGCACTGCGAGTGCAAGGAATTTTTTCGGTGAACGGTTTGACGAAACGGAAATTCGTGTCGAGAAAGACACGCCGCCCGTAGCTTCTGTAGACACTGGGCCTGTGAGGACCCATCCGAAGATTGTCTCTTGGGCCAGGAGAAAGCAGAAAATGTTATTTTTGGAACCGCCCAGAAGCACAGACGGAAGTATGTCAGCTCCAATTAGGACGTCGAATTCAGAACTCTCGAAGAACGTTGGATCCGCTAATGGGAGCTCAGGAAGCTCCTTTAGGAGATCTTTTGGAACTGGATATGATGGAAGTTTTCCAACGAGTTGAGGAAGAACATAAGAAGTCGTTTTTAACTGCAGCCCGGGTCTGGAGGGAGCGCGAATTAAAAAATTGCAGAGCTTTGTGGCTTGAGTGGCAACTGTATCATTCAGACCGGAAACTCGGGCTTGAGCTGGCTGGAATGGAAGTTTGACGAGATTGAAAAGCCTCTCCGTAATAAAGGTTGCTTCAGAACCTGAATCGATTAGAGCTCGCGCTTGGAAGTTGCGGCCAAGATGGCAATGGGTGCGGGTCGTAGACTAGATGGAGCGGAGGGTCTTGGAACGGTAGTCGTAGGATTGTCGCGGTGTAGCAGAGTATTATGCCGGCTGTGGCACATAAAGCAGGAATGGGCACTAGTACAGTCCCGCTGCTGGTGCCCTAGAGAAAAACAATTTAAGCAGAGTTGCTTTCTTCTGATGAAATCTGTCCGCTCATTGATATTCTTGTCCAGGAAATGCGGACATATACGTATAGGGTGCTCTTCTCTTCTCTTCTCTGGCACATAAATTACACCCTCTCGGTGTTGGAGCCACCCTAGCTTCATATGAATTGAGCCTACGCACCGGTGGATTGGCATTAGCTGACCTTGGCGGAAAATGCCCAGAGCCGCTAGGCCTGACGTCGTCGATGGCCTCCAACGTGCGATAGCGCTTTGTCAGAAATGCGTCCAACTCATTCCAGCTTGGAATTTCAGACTTATTGCGTATGGATTGCTCCCACAAGTAACGTGTAATCTTGGGACACAAAAAGGCAGTCCCACGCCTGAACTTGAATGGAGAACATTTTTAAGGCGGTCAAAAAACTTTGAATGGTGCCTTGCAGCTCTCTTAGAGCGACTCCGGATTCTTGAGGAACAGACTGGATGACTAACAACCGCTTATTTTTAAAGCGGTCGAAAAGGCTTCTCCATGCTGAGATGAAACCCTTCGATGGTCTGATGGCCCTTTGAAACGATGCATGCGCATCGCCACTCGTCTTGGAAAGAAGGTGAAACAACCTCTCCACTGGCGTGAGTCTGGAATTATTCATATAAATCGCCGGGAAGAGGTCCCTGAAAGTGGGCCACCGAAGATAATGGCCTGTGAAGACCTCGGGGTCCACTGGTGGCAGGCGACAATCCGAAGAAGGAAGTGGTTGGACACTGACGGAAGCCTGGGAGGCGGCCTTGTCAAGTATGTCCGGAAGCTGGACAACACACTTCGAATAAGTGGAGTAACTGTAGTTGTATTTGGACTCGAGGACTGTCGAGGTGGCGGTGTAGCTTTCATAGCTCTTCTACACCTTTTCCCACAGGGCCCGGATTTGGTCCCGATGTACTCGGCACACGGCAGAGGAAAACCTCTCAGTTTCAGGAGCGTCGTAGTGTGGATGTTAGCTTCGAATTTGCTAACACAGTCCGTCGTGGCAATAAACTTTCTTAAGGCGATGTCTACTGCATTTTGAGCCATCTTGGAAACCGACGGAGCTAGTATCGACGGACTCGCCCTTGGATTGGCAGTGGCAGCCTTTTGAGTTAAGTGAGACGGCCGCGGAGACGCGGGTCGGGACCAGTCCAAACAGATTGATGGGGTCAGACGTGGCTTTTTGTCGTCTCCCGTGGGCATACTTGAACTCGGACACTGAGGATCAGCGGTTGTCGACTGACCTGAGCAAAGGATGCAGAGGGTGGCGTCTTTAACCTAAAGTTCCCTCGATAAATAAATAAAACCACGGGAACATACAGAATTTTCTGCGTGTGTTGGATATATTTATTGGACAGAACATAAATTGGTACTTACTTAATAGCTCTCCCATTGCAAAGCTTTATGGAATGGATGCTTAGAGAGTCAGAGAGAGAGAGAACGTAGGGCACATTTCGAGGCAAAATAAATAAATAAATATATATTTATAGATATTGTTTTCTTTTGACCAATGGATTAATTCATAATGAATCAATTGCAAATTGCAAGAAGCAAGATTTTTTCATGTTTTTTTTATGAATCCTAAATTAGTGTTAAATTTAAGCGTTCTTTGATTTGCACGTGCACTGCAAAGCTACTAAAATAAAAATAATTGTGCCAACTAATGCAGATATGTGTATCAGCAAACTTACTTACTGTCCCCAGGTTTGTCATAATTTAGTTTTTTTATTTATAGATTGTTTACATGGTAAATATATAGCTAAAAATATACACCTAAAACATTTAATTTGTAGAACATTTATAAAATATGAAAATACTATGGCTTTAACAAATTTGTAATTTGCTATACCTTAAGTATGAATATAATTGATAAGGATGACAGCATTTCAAATATTTCAGTTTTTACTTCTTTATGTACATTTGTATTTACAAAATATGCGAACATACTTGTATATGAGGCATTGTATTCAACAGACCGCACCATTTTTATTACAATGTTTTTTACATTTTTCCATAACTAACATACATGCTTTGTAAAATGTACACTAATTTTCCTGTACAGGGTTTTTTTTTTACATTTTTTATATAAATACTCAACATGTAAAGAATTTACTGCTAACATCGCTGGTACAATGACAAATGTATGAGTTTGAACGGAGCCTGGTAAACAAAATTGAAATCGATCGGTTTAGTAGAATTTGAGCTAAATCTACTGCGCCGATCGATTTAATTTTGTTTTTTTATTATAGGGTAAGGTGGGGTAAAGCCGACAGTGTGGGTAAACCCGACCCCCCTCTGTTTTCGAAAATCGGAAGCACTACGCAAAATAATATTAGTGTTGTCGTGTAGAGCATCGAAAACAATGAAAATGGTGGTATGACACCATTTTATTAGTCAACATTGAGATGGTCAAACGACGACAAGTTTGTTTTCACAATTTTGACTTTCATTTTTGTGCATAATTAACTGCAGGATATTTCTTTTTGTCAAAGTTATCGCATGAAAAGGTAAGTGGATTTAGATTCTTTGAATAAAGTCCTACAAAGTGCATATAAGTTTGGTTCATTTTTTTTCATAATTTCTTTTTTAATTGCGTTTTTATGAAAAATTACGTCGTGGGGCAAATCCGACCTCTAAATAGTGGGGTAAATCCTGCCGCAAAAAAAGCCAAAAAAACAACAATCACACAAAAACCATCAACATCGCAGCGAACCAGACGTTCAACTCGAACCAAAAAACGCCAGCAAGCTATTTGAGCAGCGAATCAGATGATACTGATTAATTATTTTGCTATTTTCATTTTTTTAATTCTATTATCTTTTATTACCATTATATAACATAACTTTGATTGATATATCATTGCAAAACCTATATTTAGGTTATATCTGTACTAAATCAACCAAAAACATAGGCGGTCGGGTTTACCCCATCATTTTTGAACTTAGCAAAAATGAACTTTTTCGTAAAACGCTTGTATCTCAAAACTTTTCAAAGGTATGAATAAAATGCTATGCATAGAAAGTTGCGCAAAGGTCTAACCTTTAATTTGGTATATATAACGACTTGATCCGATGTAAAATAAGCATTTTATAGCCAAAACCATTTACTAGGTCGGCTTTACCCCACCTTACCCTATTCTTTATTTTTTATAAATTTACCATTTTTAAAGACAAAAAAATAATTTTTGAATTTAAATTTTGCACAAAACAAAATTTAATAAAATTACCTGTTTTGCACCGAATTAGCCATGCACCCCAAACACACACCTCCCTTAAATTGTTCAGTTAATTAAAACTTACTCCACACGATCTGCCAGGGATTGTCTTTGCTTTACATAATGGCTGATGGGAGAGCTAAGCTTAGAAATAATAACTGATTCTAATATAGAAAAATAACAGCCCCTCACTCGGCACTGAAAATAATAATGTATATAATAACAATTTGATGAACATAAACAGTTTAAGTTTTACCAAGTTATTTTTATTAAAGCCGTCTATATTCATAATACAGCATAGAATCAAACTAAGTCTCACTTTTTTAGAAGTGGGAGTAAAGGTAAGAAGGGTAGGTAAGTGGCCGTTCCTAAATAACTTCTTAAGTACATATTTTATGAGGTAACACAATAATATATTTTCTAAAGAAAATCCATATCAACCACTTGCCTATAGTGAATATAGATTTTTTTTCTTAATTTCACAAATGCGCTACAGGAAAAAGTAACAATTAATTTTAAACAACAAGAACACAGAAACTTAAAAAAAGCGCTATCTGAATTTGCATATAAATGAATCAAATTTGTGGAAATAATCAAGACAATTCTGAAAATATAACAGATAATTAAGAAATTTGACCAGACATTGGATTTTCTTCCATAAGGTCAAACATTACAGCTGACGACTTCAAAATAATATGTTATTTAGGATTATTTTCCCTATTTTCAGGTCTATCTTGTGGCTTCGGTAGAAGGGGCATAGAAGCTATAGTAATGTCCCTGTCGTCTTGTTCCCCATTTTGAAGATATTCCCCCACTTCTGAAGCAACCAAACTACTTATTGAGGCATTATCTGTGTGCTCAGGGTTGATCATCTTTTTGTCATCTTGGATGTCTCCACCGACGCTTTGATTGCTTCTTTCATCATGAGATAAGTCAACATTGGTGGGGGATGAAGTCATACTTCGATTAAGTTTCGAATGGTGCCTAGCGCTTTGATTCGCAGTAAGTAATTGGGGTTTTTCGTCTTCATTAATAGAATGCAACAAGCGTTCCACCTCGTCGTCGAATGTTTCGCTTGAGAATGTCCCAGATTTACGACTCTTTTCCAACAAAGTAGCCTTTTTAGCCGTTAGATATAGCACCCTTTTAATTGCAATATATATGACATCAGATATTGCACGAACAGAGTAATCAGGTACAAATGATTGCCGAATTTTCGAGTCCATATTAAGAGACTGCAAGGACCCAAGTTGCGTTGGAGAGTCTTTAAGAAAGAAAATGATAGACAAATTAAGGATGTTTTTAAAATATATATCATTTGATGAATGTAATAACTTGATTAGATGTTTATATCCTTAACATTAAGTTACCATATTCTATATCTGGCATATACTGCGCTGCATAAATAAAATATAGCTTTATATAAAAATATAAGTTCCTTGAAAATAATTACAATGAACTATGTATTTTCATTGGAATCTAAAATTCTTCCTTTAAGAAAAATTTTAAAAATTGTATTAAGGGGTTATCCGGTTTTTTTCAAACTTTTTTATATAATAGTACAAAGTTTCAGGAATGTTGTCAGAAAATTTCAAGTCGATCGAAGCAAAACTGTAAGAATGGGAAATATTTAAAGCCCAGCGCGTCACGTGAGTCACAACTGGCAATTAAAACTTTAAACGCAAAACGCCAAAATATGGCAAAAATTTCCGTAAAAACTGACACTTTTTTATTAAAAGCGCTACAAAAAAAATCAATTTTTAATTAAAAAAAAAATCCGTCGTTCAAATACAAGCCAGACACAAACACTAACAGAACAATTTTGGTTCTTAGATTTCAGATAAAAATTGACGGAGATATTTTGGTGGCCTGCCTCAACGGCTCATTTTTTAAATATTTTTAGTTCAAATTTTCTCAGAATTTAGTTCAAATCTTAAACAATATTGTAGAATAAATGAAATTTGCAAAATTTTCGTAGGTTCTTTTAAAAAAAATCACGAAAATAGGCATTTTTTGTGCTTCAAACCCCGGAAATTAAAAACGAAATTCTGAAATAATTAAAAATTATCATATCTCAATAAAGATAAAAATATGTTCAAAAACAGTCAAGTTATAATTTTATTTTTCTGTAAATTTGTCGATCATTTGTATAGCAGCTATTTGATATAGTCGTCCGATCCGGCCCGCTCGGACATACATATATAGCAGTGAAGAAGACTATGCAAAGTTTCTTTCAGATAGCTTTAAACTGAGAGACTAGTTTGTGTAAAAACGGACATACGGACATGGGTAAGGTCGAAAATGTCTCCTTCACTGCGTTGTGACTAGCGCACTAATTTATAAGTTTTTTAAACTTGTAGCGTTGGGAAGGCAAATAAAATCAAATCAAAATCAAGCTTCTGACTTAAATTATAATACCCTGCAAGGGTATAAAAATGCTCATACTGAAACAATGCATGGAGGGGTAAACTTAATGCGAAATTGCATCCAAAGAAAATATTGATTTTTCGGTTTACAGGCAAAATACAGCAATAATGGGTAATTTTCCACAATATAGGGTTACGATGTCGTTTCCATTCTTACATACTGGAATATATTACGCAGGTCCGTAATTTGTAAAGTGCTCGAAAGATCGCGTACAAAAGACTAACTAATCTAGCGCCGAAAATTCGAAACGCCTTGCTCAGAGCAAATAAAATATCATTCCAATTGTACGATGGACAATCGGGAGTAGCGCCGAAAGCTCGCAGCTGTTTGTTCTACAGAGAGACAGACATGAGATAGCTATCCCTGCATGTCATCAACTGGCCCTGTCATCAACGTACCCACTGCGACCTCTACCGAGCCGACGTTTCATTTAACAATGGTATTAAAATCGACTCTCTCGTAAATAAGAGTACTTGATGAATTGAAGATGAATTGCTGATTTCGTTTTTCAGAAAGCGAAAAATTGAACAAGGCTACTGCTGCTGATTTTTGATTTTTGTTACTTTTTGGTCTCAGAACAGGCTTTGACTGCGACTTTTGATTTGTTTAGAAGCAAAATCAAAAGCAAATTCATTTGAAATTCAGTTTTTACTTCAGTTTTTCAAAAACTGAATGGACTGGCTTCGATGATTCATCGACAAAACCTGTATGTTGATGAATTACTAATGAATTACCGCTTACAGGTACTTCTGGTATTTGACCAAATCACACATATTTGGCGTAGTTTGTTTTATAATAATGCTTATTTCTAATGACTTAGATTAGGGCGAAAGAAATTAGAGTGAAATTTGTTTGTTTTCCTTACGGGTCTTTGTACTTACCAATAACCACATTTTGCACCAAGGCTTGTGTTCCGAAATAAGTAAACGGACCACTTTCAAACATAAGAGCTTCTTTTCCAATGGTAACTTCCACGCGACCCTCCAATATAAGTACGAAAAAGTCCACATGTTTTCCTTGTGTGAAAATGTACAGACTTTGGTCGTCTTTACTTTTACCTTTTGTTTTAATATTGTGGAACACGTCTTGATTAAGTAGTCTCCGCAAAATTGGTTCCGAGATGACATCCTTTTTAAAAGCGTCAACAGCTAAGAAAAAAATTGTTTAAAATGCGAATGGTATCCACAATCGATGTAATTACCTGTGCTTAGGTACTGGAACGTAGCCAACGTTAATTGAGGAGAAATTCGAACAGCTTGAATCTCACGACGCTCAGCAAACGCAGAAAAGTCTGCTTTCTTATAACGATTTCGTTTTGTCTTTGTACGGTTATCAACAAAAACATCGGTTTCGTCAACAATTTCAGCCTGAATCAGCTCTTCAATAACATCTTCCAATGTAACTAAGCCCACAGTTTCATAAAACGGGTCTCCATCTCCCTCATTATTTACGCGATGGACAAAAGCGATATGTCCAATTGTACCCTCTTTGAATTGGTTGAACATAATGTCTAAAGTATAATCCTCAAAAACGAAATGAACTGGATTTTGGTAGAACTCGCAAAGTGTTTTCAATGGCGTATTATCATCAGTATCAACAAAGGCCAAGTCTTTGATGTAAAGTAGTGTAACAATGTTTTTCCTATCGCCATCGTACACAGGAATACGTGAGTACCCTGAATTCATGATTTCCGAAACAGTTTCAAAATCAAGTACCGCCTCTAATGACAGCATAAAAGCATCATTTATATGCGTCATTACGTCCGCAACAGTTTTTTTACGTAACTCCAGTGCTCCAGATATGATGTTAACTTCATTTTTATCAAGATCGTTAACATCATTTGTAACCTAAACAGTGGCAAATAAATAAAAATATATATAAATTTTTTTTACATATTTAACAACAAAAATTGCTAAATTCGAGAAGCCGAAGTTTGTATACCCTTGCGATCGCTTGTAAGAAGTCCGAACTTATCCTAAATTGAATAGGTATTCATGTAAATGGACCCAACGCTCCTATGCCATCTATATGATATGGTTATCGGATTTGGTAAATTTAACTTTATCGAAGGATATATGCGACTATTTTTTAACATATCGACATTTTTCTATTAAAAAATCGTAATAATAATAAACTAGTTTTATTATATATATTATAAGTATATGCTAAAAACAGCAGTTTCTTCTATTCTTTTTTTTTCATATGTCTCCATATATAAAAGACGATAAGCTTCATTTAGATGGCTCAAAAGCTAGTTTGTGTGGATACGGACAGACGGACATACTGACAAGTCCAGCAAGACTTATCTGTTAATGATGTTCAAAATATATATTCTTTATAGGGTTGCAAATCGGTCTTTTACTGCGTTGCAAACTTCTGACTTAAATTATAATACTCTGCAAGGGTATAAACCAATTTTTTACTTACACGAACAAGTTCCTTCAATCGTTCCCTATTGTAAACATTACCAATTTCTTCGCCCAATAACTTATCGAGAATTCGAGACACTGGATAAGACAAAGGAGCTGTTATAGCCATAACAGTTTTGGTTATTAAAATGGTTTTGGCTCCAATGGCCAATCCATGACGTGAACACACAGCCTGTAAAAAAGAAATTAAAATTAATATCTCCAAAACAAATTATTACTATCATTATAATAATCTGGTTTAACACGATTAAGATCCAAAACTAAGGTAGCTTTTGTATAAAATAGGACTGAAGATTGGGTTTTTTAGGACTAAAGACCGACGGATAGGTTAACGGAACACATATCCATGGCGGCCACCAGGATTGGACGCAACTTAGATCTAGTAAGCGATTCAAAGAATTATGGACATGGCTAACTTGAGACAAAGAAATATCAAGCAAGACATCAATGAGGTCATGCTGTGCCTAATATTGGAGGACAGTTGACGCACCACCTGATGACCAACGAGCTCCAGGTATATTGAAGTCACCTGGAGTTACTAGTCTGAAAGCATGTTGGAAACCGTCTGAAGTGCCAAAAGGTGTTTGGAGAAGTTACGTTAAAACATGTTTTTTTTTCGACATCAAGCACGTCCTTGTTCATGTTAGCAGTTAGTAGGCGCGAAGGAAATAAATAGAAAAGAATGCAAGGAAACTACTACTGGCGTGCGTAAAGTTTTTAGTTTTGGGAGGCTATCAACATTAGATATTATGGCGTACAAAACATTATAATTTGCACAGATGACTCTAAAGGGTTCATGCAGTTCAATGGATGTTTTACAGTGGGGAAAAAGTAATCGTAAAAAAATCTCATGTTTCTTATTGGTACGTGAAAATTAAGCTGACCCCACGGATTAAGTTGTATAAGAATGTAATACCTAGCATGGTTCTACAATTAGATAAAGAGGGTAAGTTAATTAGTATGAGTCTACTAGAATAAGACGGTAACCTCTGGTTTGCATCCCAGTTTAAACCGCGTAAAGCGAATAGTAAAAAGTTCTTTTACTGTGGACACCATACTGAGGGCTCCAAACGCAAGATCCATATTCTAAAGATGGGACGAACAAGTGAAGTATATAAAGACTGTAACATAGGGGTCATTGAATTCCTTCGACCACCGTTTAATGAAACCAAGCACACCCCTGGCTTTATTCACCATGCTCGAATATGATCTATAAAGTCAAGTTTAGCATCTAGACGGACACCCAAATCATCAACTATATTACTTTTTTCCAAAGAGCAGCAGTTCAGCGTATAAGTTGCAGGCTTAGGAACGACACGGGAGAATGTCATTAGCTTGCATTTAGAGCCATTTAAGTTTAATAAGTTCAGGCGGCACCATATTTGAAAATTTTTAAGATCTGTCTGGAAGTCTGACTGGCAAGAAGCGTAGTTATATTGCACACAAAGTTTGACGTCGTCAGCGTACATATGTAGTACTCTGGATTTGGTCAAACCTTTGGGCAGATAATTGATAAATAATGTAAACATTAGGGGACCCAAATGACTCCCTTGCGGGTCGCCAGATGTAACCCTAAGAACATTAGATAGTTTATTTTTAAAAAGGACCTTTTGCGTCATGCCATTTAGATAACATGAGATCCAATTAAGAAGATCAATCGGAAATCCCATTAAATCGAGTTTCTGAACAAGAAGAGAATTCTTAACAGAGCCAAATGCTTTACTGAAATCAGTATAGATTGCATCTGTCTGAAAGTTATTTCGGCAGTTCTTTAGGAAGGAAGTGAGCTCCAAAAGATTGGTTGTAATTGATCTTCGCTTAATAAAACCATGTTGACACGGTGAAATAATTGACCTACACAGGTGCTGCAAATGAGGAGTAATGACATTTTCGTACAGTTTTGGGATGGCCAACAACTTAGAGATACCTCTGAAATTGTTGGCATCCAATTTGCTACCTTTTTTGTGGAGAGGAATAACGAATGAAAAACTGGCTTAACACGATGAAGATCTAAAAGAAGAGAGCTGTCGTTTAAGGTGGGTCTGAAGATTTGGTTCGATTTGGGGATGATGTAAGAATAAATCTGATTTGGGTCTATTAAGTTGGAGTAAGTGGTTTGAAAAAACTAAACAAATATATCGGCTATTGCCTGATCATTATCTGCTGTTGTATTTTCAAAAGAGAGCGAGAAAAGATGAATAATAGGTTTACGTTAAGTCTTAACAAAATTATAAAACTGTTTTGGGTCCTCAGAAAACTGGGACCTACAACGAGTCAAATAATTATTGTAGCCCTGCGCGTTATGCACGGTAAAAGTGGACCGAGCTGATAAATAACTAGATAGGACAGTTGGAGAACCGGTACGTTGATATTTAGCATACAGATTTGATTTTTTATTTTTGAGGCGGGTCAACTCTTTGGTAAACCAAGGAGGCTTATTTGCTGTTGACAGACAGTATAACGGAACACATTCAAAAAAAAATTATAATCATGAAATTATTCAGCCGTACGAAGTCCGTCTTGCTAAAGCAGAAGACTTTTTGGGCTGGTCAATCAGATTTATTCCGTGAAACAGTCCCAATGACGATAGTCACAACGAAAGTGGGATGATAGGGATCATCGGGTTGCGTCAGGATCGCCACCCTAGCTAAACTAAATCTTGCCGGATCAGAGACAAAGCAAAGTTCAAGCGAGCGCTCTAAGGAATTTCGTACATGGTTGACTTGGAACAGTGAAATATCAAACAAGTCAGCAATAAAATCATGATGTGTTGTGGTAAAAAGTGTATTAGTGAAATTATATAGGGACCAAATAGCACCTGGGATGTTAAAATCACAAATAACTACTAAGTGGTCCCCATTCGAAAGCCTTCTGGAGACCGACTGAACAGCGATAAGATGGTTCCAATAAATAGAGAGTTCCGACAATGGAGGAATGTAGGAACATGTAACAAAAATGGAACTACCATTAACTGATAGCTTCACGCAAAGGAATTCAAAATCGTTGAATTCCTCGAAAGTTATTAATTCGAACGTGAGAGTGGAGTCGACCGCTATAAGGACACCTCCCCCTCGTCTGACAGGCCGATCTAGCCGGTATACTGTGAATCCAGCTGGAAAAACTTCGGAGCTCAGAATCTCCGGCTTTAACCAGGTTTCATTGAATACAATAACTTGAAAAGCAAATGTGACACTATCAGAATACAATTTAGGAAGTTTACTGCGTAAGCCACTTTCAATCTTAAAGGAGATTGGTTAGTTTTTTGGGACGGAATTAACAGAACAGTGGTCAAATCGGGCCTAGGAAGAGTAATTCCTACTGGCTGCTTCATCTTACCTTCGAACTCTTTGACAACCACATGCTTTGGCCAGAGCATAGTATGTCAAAAAATTCGCCATAAACATTTATTTAGAAAGAAGAAATGTTCCTACGATAAGCAAATTAAAATTTTTCCACCTTAATTTTTTCTTTTTCTGCTTTTGCTTTGAATAAAAGCTATAACATCTTTCGATGTTTGATCAGGGAAAAGCCGCGAAACAAATAACTCTTTCGTTGGCGGTATTGTCATAAAGGGTTTTGGCAAGGCAGACTGATTATCAACCTTACCAATTTCGGCCGGTAGTTCGGGCCTGACACCCTGACAGGGAATTGGACTGGGGCTCTGAGAGGACAACTATTGGGACCCCCCAGGGGACAACACGAAAATGGGTAACACCGGGGCACATTCGGGAGGCTACTGTTGAGAGCCTGTCACTGGTGGTTTGGATCCGCCTAGATGCTGCACACCAGTTGGGTTTTTTTTTTTTGCGCCTTGGAGACTCATCTAATAGCTTGAGGCTATTGTTTGCCGCCCTTGGTTTGCCGCATGACAGACATAATTTTCCTCTTTACCTCGCGGCAGGCCTCACAGCAGTAACGTACGCCGATATTTTTGGCCACGTCATCTACTGTCCGTGCAACAACACCAATGCACTTGGTATTCACTTTGTTATCACACAGCCAACAGGTGATGGTGAGTTCACCGTAAATAATATTCTTTTTTACAAGTTTTTGAGAAGCAGACCATATTGACAGAGATCTTAGGAACTTTCCACTTTACCTTCGTTAATTAAGGGGGGCGCAAGGGATTAAGTGCAGCGGCACTGGAAGAGCGGGATAGCGTGAGATTAAGCACTAAATATAACCATTTATAGCTGTCGCGACGATGCAAACAACAACAAACGCAATAGGCACAAAAGGGAATGCAAAAGAAATTCAAAGCAAATCTGCCGCTTAAACTAAGATGTGGTTTTTAGGTAATTCTACACAAATCGGGAGAGCGCACGAAAAAAACACGTCCGTTCACGTTGAAGGAAGAATAATAATTAATGTTATGTAGATAAAGCTACCTGGAAATGATAGTTTTAACCTCGTACTCCTTAACTACAGCGAATTTTGGTCAGAAGTCCACAGAACAAATTGTGTTAAAAAGATCGAGGGAGACACTTATCTTAAACAATAAGATGTCTCCGGCGTATCAAAAATTAAATTGTTCCACTTTTATATTTGCGATTTGGGTTTTGCCCTGCATATGGGCAAGAACTTCTCCCTATGTGAGGTCAAGAGCAAGCCGTAAAACAAATACTGTATTTAACAGGGGTAAGGGTCTTTGATAACGCAGCATTACCAACTTCGGCAGGTGCTCTGGCTCTTTTTTGACCTTGTGCAGTTAACATTACTTTTTCGATGTCTACGGTGTTAGAGATTGAGACACCGCAGTGGACTCCACTAATATAAATGGCGGAGTTGTCCCAATTCCATCCCGGCATATTCGGTTTCCGAATGTTTAACTGCTCCCGATCTCAAAACCATTGGGGCTGGGCCGAGGGGGTGGTGCAGATCTTGCTGGGGTTCGCCCAATTACTGCCCACCAGAATTTTGGTAAAAATTTTATGAAAATCGGACGACTATATCATATAGCTGCCATAGGAACGATCGGGAAATTAATAGAAAAAAAAATTATATTTTCGTTGTTTTTCAACGTATTTTCATCTACTCCGGGATATAAGCTTATTTTATTATTCTAGAATTTTGGTATAAATTTCAAAAAAATCGGACAACTATATCATATAGCTGCCATATAAACCGATCGGTAGATGTAGAGAAAATGTAAAGCAGGGAATGCAAAACTGT